AGTGAGAGGCAAAGGTGTGAGGAATTGGAAGCAAAGGTGTGAGGTTTCTTGCGGGTCTCCGATTTCTGTTCTGTTCTTTATTACTTTGTTTATACTACATCACAAGTAAGAAATCACCTTCCTGTCTCTAGTTATCAAACCATTCTTCTTTCCTTCTTTAAAGCTCATGTCTTCAACACCGTATTTCCTGAGTCATTCTGGCTTTGTCAAGTTCACAATTCAACCATTATTTTGCTTACCTTTTAAAAAACCATATATTGTTAAAACCCAGTTCTCTTCCCCATTGCTATCAAGTCTTTTGGGACAGGAACTTCAACTCTATGTTCTGCAAAGCACCTAGCACACTGTTAGCACTATTTGAACACATGATGCTGCCTTATACTCAGACCATTGGTCCGTCAAGGTCAGTACTGTCTACTCAGACAGGCAGTGGCTCTCCAGGGTCTCCTGTAGAGGTCTTTCGTATTACCTAATTACCTGATCTTTTTCACTGGAAATGTCACAGATTAAAGCTGGGGCATTCTGGATGCTAAGAACATGCTCTGTCACTGAGCTATGGCCCATCCGGAGGAGTCCAGGTCTACCCCTGCAATGGAAAGGGGTTGGTAGACCTGGACTCCTCCAGCCAGGTCTACCCCTGCAATTGGAAGGGGTTGGTAGACCTGGACTCCTCCGGAGGCCAGGTCTACCCATGCAATGGGAAGGGGTGAGTAGACCTGGCCTCCGGAGGGGGGGGGGCTCCAGGGCAGGGGGAGGGGAAGATCAAGCCAGGGGGTGGAGGAGGGGTGGAGGAGACGGGAAACCGGCGGGATAGGGGGGGAACTTACCTCCTCCTGCTGCTTCCTCCTCTTCCTCATAGGTGCGGAGGTCCTCCTCTCCCGCGTGTATCGCGGGTCCCCCACTTGTTCTAGTATATTTGATAAAGTGTGCGTGCACACGAAAGCTCATACCTTGAATAAACCTTTGTTGGTCTTAAAGGTGCCACTGGACTCTAAATCTATTGTACTGCTTCAGACCAACATGACTGACCAACTGGATCTATTGTCCTAGTGGTTGGGGAATGAAATCTAACACCATAAAGACAGTATCTCTTATTAGTCCAACTCTGGTTAGCATAAGAACATACAAGCATACGTGGAGCTCTTTACCAGGCATAACAGAAAACACAAGAGTCAATAAAATAAGGAACAAGAAGTCACATCTATCAATAATATATAAACAACAGTTAGTTTTTGTCATTAAAGACAAGCACAACCATCACCTGTGTCCTCAGAAAAGGAAACTATTTGCTGTGATATCTGAATAATGCTTAAATGTCACCTAAACAACAGGAGGCATTATCAACAGGAACAGACCTTTCAATTCCAGTGTCCAAAGACAGAAAAGCCTTTAGATGGCAGGCCCACAATCCAAAGAATACAACAAATAACACCAGGTACCCAATGGTTCTTTCAGGGGGTTTATTCTTTTAAAACACATTTCCACAGATGCACAGATTATCCTGGGAAGCATTTCTGAAACTCAAGACAGTTTCACACATAAGTTTGAGATGTGGCACAAAAGCTGCTACACTAGGTCAAGGGTTTGAAAGCCTCAAGAGGAACTTCAGGGACTATATTTCAGTTATAATTTCTACGGAAAAGTAAATCCTGCAGAGACAAGACTGCAGCAGTGCAATCCTAAACATAGTTACTTCTTTCATTTCAATGAATTTAAGATTGCTCTGTAAAACACTCATCAGATAAACTTACCAATATTGCTGTATCTTCTTCTCCAGCTGAATGATACGCCAGACCCAAACAGAAGGCCGCATCTGCCTCCATATTCCTGTTGCCAGCTAAATGAGAAGAAAAGCTGCAGTTACCATTATACTTTAAAAGAAATTAAACTACAGCGAGCTGTACATACAGTTTTCAACATCGTAGTTTTTCTTAAAATTTTATCTCCCCCATATATATTTAATTTTTCTACAGACAAAAGGGGAAGATATTCTTTAAAAGCATTTTATGTTTTCAGGGGGAAAAACCTATAGACAGCTCTGTAACATAGTATCTATCACTTGTTTTATAGATTAGAGAGCAACTGCAAGGAGGCTGAGACAGAATTATGTTGCCAAGCATATATATTTAATTTTTCTACAGACAAAAGGGGAAGATATTCTTTAAAAGCATTTTATGTTTTCAGGGGGGAAAACTATAGACAGCTCTGTAACATAGTATCTATCACTTGTTTTATAGATTAGAGAGCAACTGCAAGGAGGCTGAGACAGAATTATGTTGCCAAGAGACATCAGGGGTCTTTTTGTAGAAAAAGAGCTGTAGGAGCTCATTAGCATAACTCATTAGCATATGCCACACCCCTGACATCACCGGAAGTGTGTCATAAGGCCACACCCCCTGACATCACTGGAAGTGTGTCAGAAGGCCACACACCCTTGACATCACCAGAAGTGTGTCAGAAGGCCACAACCCCTGACATAAGCCTTCTGGAGGGGTCCCCATTTGGAAGAAAAGCAGGGTTATCAATGTGCACAGATAGAGAGAGAGAGGAAGTACTGTTCTTTGCAGTAAAAGCCAGAAGCCTCCTTTAAATAAAATCTAGCTCTGAGCCTCTGGCCTAAGACAACTGCAGATCTGCTTTCCCGATATCAATGTCAGTAGCAACAAATCAAACATTTGGTACCCAGATATGTAGAAGCTATGAAATACCTGACTGATATTGCCTCTTTATTTCTGGCACCACAGTCAAAGGATAGATTTGTCTGTGTAACAGTTTAAGTAGGATCAACTTTTGTGCAGCATTTCTAGGCTAGATGTTACAACAGAAAGATTAGAAGAGCACAGCAGATCTGATAGTTCTGAATAGATT